TGTGTCTGTCTCAGTGTGTCAGTTGTTAGATGTGTCAATCTCAGTGTGAGCAGTTTTATATGTGTCAGGCTCACAATAATGGAGTTGAGAGACCACCACATTCACCAGACTACGGTACCTCACCACAGCAGCAGGAGTAGAGGGAAGCGTGAACATCTACAAGTTGTACTACAGAACTGTCTCCATTGCACACACGTTTGGACTGCTATGGCGTAGGATTGTCCAGGACATGGCCCCACGTTATCTCAAGAACAACAACGGCATGTGTTTTCACAGACTCCTAGCACGAAGCCTGTCACTAGAGCTGTGTTGGAGCAGCGGGTCCCTCGGATGTCTCGTGTACCCGGCCCACTTTGTGCCCCAGCCTCGTGGTACATCATCTCTGTCAATACATGATCAAACAACATGTACCCGATGACTTCAAGGGAGATTGTTATACCTGGTCTAAGCGTTATTTCCCACCTACAGACCATTTCCGACAGCTGAAATCTAAGGCTTAAAACGTCCCATCAGAAATAATAGATCGCATTTGTATAGCGCACATCCCCGCTCAGCAGCAGGCTCTATGCGCTTTACACTATATTCTATGTCCCATCAGAAACCAAGAACACACTTTCTCTAGTGAGACAGCGCTGGGACTATGCTTTCCTACAAACGCTCAGAAGAAAGGACACTTATTTCAGCCATATTCCAATAATATTATGCCACTGAGAGAGGGGGAGGAACAGCTGTCCCACAGAATTCAACACCACATTTTCTTCAAATCGCGATCGCAACGAAACGTTTTCCTACATCTGTGAACTCCACCCACAATACACTCCACCCACCTACACTCCACCCACAATACACTCCACCCACCTACATTCCAACACCGCCAGAGTTTCATCGTGTAAAAACTGTGGCGTAAACTTAAAGTCCTCCGTCAACTTCCGATGTTTTGGAGACCCGGGAAGGTCGTAGGGCACAATGTCCAGCATCCCTATTTCCTGGTAATGGCGGAAGACTTTCATCAACACTTCCGGGTTCCCGAGGTCATAGATCACAACCTTGTCCACCCCCAAAAGTCGTTGCATTTCGAACCACTCTATGACCCTGCCCGGATCAAGCCCTCCGCTGTGAGCTATTTTTGCACACACGGCGAGCTCATTATGGACTCGTGGGGGGTACAGGATGGGGGTGTAGTCACTGACGTCGCCATGGCAACTCGAGTGCGTCACCAGAGTGAGGTAGGACGGGAGAGGACGTGACGTAGCAGCAGGCACAGAGCAGACGATCTGTCTCGCCATGTAGATGTCTCTGTCCGTGGTCTCGGGGTTTAGAGAGTAGAAATCTCTCGCTGGGATCTCCATAACCGTCTGCCCGTCTGCCAAAGCCACGCAGCATCTGAGGGGAGAACACCGTGGACAAAAGGAAAGTTACACACCCCGTTTTCAACTTGGGTACCCAGTGCGCAGCAATAACAAGCCGGGAGACTGTGGGGGGTGTCAGTTAGGGTTGTTGTACTTTACGTCTATCTCAGGGACAGTGACCAAGAGGTTGAGGTCATCGTGATGCGCAAAGACACAAGG